TAAAAAGGTTATCAATGGCATTCAAAATCTCAAGATTGAAGAAGGAAGAATCTGTGGCTACTTCCAGATATGCAAACAGCCCAAGATGCCTCACAAAAAGATTTAACATCTTACCACCTCAAAAGTTTTGAAGTCACTTCACATGGATCTCATGGGACCCATGGAAGTAGAAAGCTTGGGTGGAATGAGATATGTTTTTGTGTGTGTTGATGACTACTCAAGGTACACCTGGATTGCTTTTATTAAATAAAAATTTGACACCTTTTTCACATTTGAAAGGTTGTGCCAACGTTGTTAGGTCTGTGATTTTGGGATTGGCAGTAATCTTATTAAAATATGTATCACAGCAAGATGTTGAGAAAGATGTCTTGACATTTTGGTCAGACATCATTGCAGAAATGTTAAGCACAATATCGTAACATGTTAGTTAGACATCAATGCGGGTTTTAGGTTTTACTTCTTGGAAGATTTGTTTTTAAATGTGAGATTCCTTTTGGTTTTAGCTCACATATTGTCACAATCCAAGAAGGGTATTTTAGAAACACATGTTTTATTCTATATATGCATTTGTTTCATAAAGAGGAACCTTGGGACATTTTTGGAAACTTGTGATGTCGTCCCTATTTTTGTGCAGAAGATTCTGCATAATTTATGTAATAAGCGTTTTGGATAAGCGTTACATTTTTTTAAATAGCCAGAAGCCCATGCTTACCAAAGGTTGTTTAAAGGATGTTTCTAAACCTAAAGAATGAAACTAATCTATGTGTGTGAAAGGAGATTTTATGGTCTAGTTTATTATTTGTGATCCGCTCTTATATCACTTTAATATCAGAGTTAGACTGTATTTTTGAATTGTTTTTTGTAAGCCATTCATGCATCACTTAGATGCTTGAAGTGGACTGAATCACTCATGAGCTTTTAAGCAATAGTGGATTCGTGTTATTGGAAGTGTGTCTTCTATTGTTTTTTTATCACTGTTGACTGATTGAAGGGAAGTAAATGGGGTATCATACCTAGGAGTGTCTTAGATAGAAATAACGTGGGCAGTGATTAAGTGTGAAGATTGTAAATCGGAGGTTGTTTACTTATGCTTCAAACTAATACTATTATAGTGGATTTACTTCCTAGCTTAGATGCCCCCATATGTAGGTGATGTTGCACTGAACTGAGTTAACAATTAACAGTGTTATTTACTTCCAGCTATTTACTTTAATTTCATAATTGCGTGTGCTATGTTATTGTCCTGATCCCAGTGTCGTGACATCGTATACGACATCTGGTGTTTGATTACTAGAATTTCAAATGCCTTCAACGTTAGAAAGGAAGTGAAATTGGCAAGATTGTTAGAATACGTAGTGATCATGAAACAGAAATTGAAAACTCTAGCTTTTGAGAATTCTACTCTTCAAAAGGTATCGCTAATGAGTTTTCTGCACCAATTAATCCACAACAAAATGGAGTGGTTGGACGCAAGAATAAAACCCTTCAAGAAATGGTCAGAGTCATGTTTCGTGCGAATAATCTACCTTATTACTTATGGGTTGAAGTAATGAACATAACTTGTCACGTTCACAATAAAGTAACCATTCGTCCTAGCAACAAAGTGGCACACTATGAGCTGTGGAAAGGAAGAAAGCCTAATGTTAAATATTAAAATGTGTTTGGCAAAAAGTGTTACATATTGATTGATCAAGAGCAAAGGCGCAAAACAGATCCTAAAAGTGATGATGGAATTTTCTCGGCATATTCCGTCAATAACATAGCATATTGTGTGCATAACAACCGTACAAAGACCATTATATAATGCATTAATGTGGTTGTAAATGAAATTCCTCAAGTTGAAACAAATGATGAAGGGGAACACTACATATTCATAAATGAGAAAAATGTCACAGATGGTCTGCCAAGAAAAGATACTGACATCATTCATAATCATGAAGTTGAAGACTCTGAAGACGGATAGAAAAATATTTCAACAAACAAAGGTCCTTCTGTCAGAATTCAAAAGTATTATCCAATAGAAAATGTATGTGATTAGAGATCTCAATGAAGGAATTATCACCAGATCAAAATAAGTGAATGCCAACATGTGTTTTATCTCCAAAGTTGAACCAAAGAATGTTAAAATAAAGCCTTAACTGATGAATACTTAATCAATGCCATGTAGGAAGAACTTGTTCAGTTTAAAAGAAACAAAGTGTGGAAGTTAGTTCTCATATCCAATTAAGTCAACATCATATGAACCAAATTGATCTACAAAAACAAATCAGATGAGAATGACAATGTGACAAGGAATAAGGCTTGGTTACTGATGAAGGATACACACAAATTAAAGGTATCAACTTTGATGAAACCTTTGCTCTAGTTTCTCGCCTTGAATCTATCAAGCTTCTATTGGGAATATCGTGTCTTATAAAGTTCAAGTTGTATAAAATGGATGTCAAAAGTACATTCCTAAATGGGTTTTTGAGTGAACAAGTTCATGTTTAACAACCAAAAGGATTCATTGATTCTTAGCGTACCACATCATGTTTACAAGATAAAGAAGGGTCTATATGGGTTAAAATGAGCTCCAAGAGCTTTATAGGAGAGTCTCACATGATTTCTCACCAAAAATGGTTAAATCAAAGGTGGTATTATCAAAAAGAAGAAGGAAAGTTGATGATTGCTCAGATTTATGTAGATTATATCATGTTTGAAGGCAAGTCGGTATTCAATACATGTATGCGATCAATGTGTATACTCTATGCTGCATAACTAGTTCATCATCACCAGCGGTCTGCTTCGTTGCTTGTAGTTGTTGTGCATACAACCTCTTAAGGAATAAAAACCTATCATGACACACTTGGGTGACTTCTAAATCTTGAATAGAATATTGTGGGTCAACTCCCAGATAGGTTTCCATCATCTTCATTGCCCCATCTATGTTAATCCTATCGTGATCTAACAGTCTTCCCCTGATCAAAAGATGCAGCAAACATGAGACATCTTCTAATATAATGGATATCTCACCACGTGGAAGATGGAAAAATGACATCTTCGAGTGTCATCTCTCTGCAAACACGGATGTTATACCATAAATAATTGTAACATAATTTATCCAACACAAGTCTCGCAGCCCAAATAGTTGCATCACATCCCAAAACCAGTGCTTAACAGGCTTTTGCAGACCCATAATCTTCTGGCCATGATTGATGCATTTCAAAGCATCACGGTCCTACAGAAAAATAATTCATCTTCAAAAACTTCAAATATTATAACAAATGTATCTTAAAGAATGAATACAATTGAATTTTACCTCTCAGTCTCACACGTGCCTAGCAACATGGTCCGAATATAGAGACAACAACGATAAGTCGGACAAACCTTTTCCAAGCCCCTAAGGTGCCTTGGGCGCCTCAACATGTACTAATAGGACTTCTAGGGCATCAGGAGGTGACACATGCCTTCTACGGGAAGACGAATGAGGAGGTGAATGAGCCACATAAGTTGACGCTTCCATATCAACTGAACTATAACCAACCAACGCCTTCCAGTATTGAGTTTTCCTCTGTTGTGTCTCAATCTATTTTACTTATCACTCATAATGTCTATAATTAAACCACTGAAGAATTATACAAATGAAACACAATGAAATGAATCCAAACAATGCAAAAAAAAAAAAAAAATCCAAAAATGCATATTCAAATTATGAAAAAATTATGAAAAAATCCATAGATGTGTCTCTGTAATGTTTTGCAACTCAGTGATGAACATAAATGACATAAATGCACTCTAATTCAACATCCAAAAAAATGCATTGATCATTGAAACTACTTATCAAACACATTACTCATTTAAATAACATATCTATGTTATATATTACATAATCTAATGCTCAATTTCTACAAATGTATATGGAAAATAAAATAGTGAAATAAAAAACTTACGAAATATGAGTTTGAAGTTGAACTCTTTGATCGATTGAATGTTGATTATAAAAACTTGGAAGTGTGTTGAATGAGTTTGAGAGTTTGTGAGTTGAGAGGTTCTGAGAGTTGAGAGGTTCCAAGAGTTTGTGATATTTGAGAGTATTTCAAGAAATGAGGAAGGAGAAAAGACTTTGACGCACATTTAATTAAAAATGAGTCAGAATATGTATCTTCGTAACTTTTATGGAGATACATTTTGTGATTTTTTTTTTTTTTTGATATAGATTTAGAGTTGACACAAAAACTAATGTGAATGAGGTGCTTATAAAATTATATTTTCAATTTTTAAAAATAGTTTTAATTTATCATTAGTGAAGACGAGCAGTATTTAGGCTCTGTTTAGTAAGTCACAATTTCGGGCATATAGATTATAAGCTCATATAATAATTTAGATCTGTTTGATAACAATATTTTTATCACGAATTTAAAGCTTATTTTCCAAACGCTATTTTAAATAACGTTTTAGTTTATAGTTTATAGCTTATCATATTTTCTTCCATTTTTATCTTTACTATTTTAACAAAAACTCTTTTTTATCCTTTATAATTTATTTTAATTTAAAATAAAATAAATATGTATTAAATATCTTTTATGCCATTCTACATTATAAGTTAGTTAAATAGTTAATTTTATCAAACACTTCAATTATCTTATCAGCTATCAATCATCGACCATCTGTTATAAACTATAAGATATTAGTCATTAATCATCAATCATCAGCCATAAACTATTAACTAACTTATCAATCAACTATTTTTTATTATCAAACAGAGTCTTAGAGTGAAAAATCAATTCCCAAAAATAATTCTAGAAACTGCAAAATAATCAGCAAGTGCTATTCTTATTTATTATTATTTTTTTAAGTTAAATTTTATAGAAAAACTGAAACGTTTAATGTTATTTTGGGCCGCGATTTATCATCTGGCTTATATATAAGGACATTACCATTCAAACGAGCGAGAACACAACACAACCCGTTGAAAGGAAGATAAACAACATACCGAAATCTTCATTCAGACCTAAACAACAATGAGCAATTCGTCGGCAATAGCCTCCTCGAAATCAAAAGCAGCTTCGGCACAACCCTCAGAGTCATCTTCATCCAAGCGCAAGAGAGGAGTTTTCCAAAGAGAATGTAACTAATTTTCTTTCCAACTAATTTTCAATTTCACTCTACTTTTTTCCATTTCTCTTCCTAATCTTTCTCCCTTGGTTTCTTCTATAGTGCAGCACATGATGTACGGTTTCGGAGATGATCCTAATGTAATTTTAGTTTTTCCTAAAATTTATATTCTCTAGGTTATCGAATTCTTTTCGTGTGAATTGTTAATTTGAGGTTTTGTTCTTGTTTTTTACTTGAATTAGCCACTTCCTGAAAGTGTCGCACTTATGGATGACATCGTCGTAGAATATATTACAGAACTGGTAAGGAATAACAATCTTTCTAATGTATTTCATTTTTCAACTTAGTATCACTGCCATGGAGTTCTTGGTCTTTGTTCTTATTTGTGCAAAATTTCTTTTTGTTAAGGTACATAAAGCACAAGATATTGGATCACAGAGGGGGAAGCTATCAGTTGAGGATTTCCTCTATTTGATTCGCAAGGTACTCTCTTTTTTGTTAATAAAAGCTGCAAATATAGACATAGGGGAACAGTTATATGTGTTTATCTTCAAATACTACTGGAAATTGAATGCGACCTACATACATACATGCTGTTGTCCTTATTCTCAAGGGAACCATGTACTATAAGAGAATGCAAAACCGATTAAATGAATCAAATAGAAATCACTTGAGAAGCTAACTGAAATTTTAACGAACATGTCTATACTCGAAGAATTGAACACTTCTTTTGGTCTGCCTTTATGAGTCTTTAAAGATCTCCAGTTGGGAAGTTGTTAGTTGTTAGTTGTTGTTAGTTGTTTGTATCAGTTTCCTATTCAAATTTTATCAGTCTTTAAAGGTCTTCTGCAGAGAACTCTCTCAAGTAGGATCTATGTAAGCTTCTTTAAGCCATAGTCGGTATTAATGGGCCTTAAGTTTCAAACCAGTAAATCACTTCCTAATCCTTAATAACCTGTCTTGGTTCAATATTTGGTTATCTGACGTATTTGCCAGGGGTTAGGAACTCTATAATAATCTTGACTTAAATCACTTCATTCGTGGGATTAACAGGGTGATTCTACTGTACATTACTATTCATTAACAAATAACAATGAATACGGATACTGATTTCTCGGCCGCTCTGGCCGTGTCGCCCAATTGTAGCGTTCCAGCACGGTCTGACGAGTTTTTGGCCACTGTGCCGTTCCGCGCCAAGAATTGGCTGTTCGGCCAAGTTTAACAATCTAGGGTTTTATAGCTCTAGGACAATTTATCATATTAGCATTAGAGCTCATATCATTGATCTAACTTGGGGTTGGGTGAGCTTTGTCTTGAGGGTTATCAAGTGCTACCACTGTAAGATTAAATATGTTGCTGAAGTCTCTTTGCCTCTTTGCAGCGGATAGTTTTCTCATTGCTCAAAGGCTCAAATACACTTCGGCTTAAACCTTTTCTCACGTGGCCAAGAATTCTGAGATATAACTTTCACAAATATGAATTATGATGCACATGCACTAAAATGAAGTACATTTTTCATTGAGTTGAGCATATGTAGTCGGTAGTAGTTTAAAATGACAAGATTTGCCCCTACTACATTTTTCATTAATCTTGATATTTTGACGAAGACTCATAAAACTTCTTGTTTGCTGCAGGATTTGCCAAAACTTAACCGTTGCACAGAGCTGTTGTCTATGAATGAAGAGCTGAAACAAGCAAGAAAGCTTTTTGAACACGATGAAGAGAATCTAAGGAAGGTTTTTGAGGGGGATGAACCAGCAGAAGGATGAATAATTAAGATTGTTGAAATACAATGAAGCTGCATTCTAGATTAGGACTGACGGGTTCTCACATTGTTGGTTATCATGTATTTCACTTTTGAGAGCAACTTAAATAGCACGTGTTTGTTTTGGCCGCGAAATGTCCATGGCAGGCAATAATATTAAGCTCACTTTGTTTTGTTTTTTCACAGTAAAATGACATTTCACTGCTCTCCCAAACATGTACTTAATGTTACTACTTGAATATAATGTCTATAACCCATTCCTGCAATAGCATGTTTGAATGTGTTCAAACTCTTTCATAATGCATTCCCTCTAATATAACATGATTTTGGTTAAAATTAGATGTTGAGTTCTTTGAATCAAAATTGATCTTGTATGTCAAATCTTTGTTTCACTTAAAAATTGATGTTAATCAAATTAATTTCACAACATCACATTTGTTCAAAACCATGTTTAATAATCATTTTTCCTGTAAAAAAAATCATTTATCCAAACATACACTATGTTTACTTGTAAAACTAACTTATATCATTTCTTTCCCCAAATATACTGCAAATTGCATGTGGTTTTGGTGTGTAGGATTAGAAAAGATATAGCAGCAACAAACAGTTCTTGGAAACCAGACAAGAAAAGATTCTTTATTAATGAAAAACAAGTCAGGGCAACATAGAAACACTAATCATTCTGAAGTTAATAATCCATAATTGAAGAAATAATCAATACAACTAAACACTTCATTAAATGAAATAATACTTTTCCTTTTCCTAATAAATCATCAATTGAAATCCTTCAGTCTCTTTTTGAGCATATCCATTGATTTCTTTTTAGCACTTTGCTTTGTATTTTTATTTGAAAGGCTTCCAAATAAACCATCAGCAGAATCCTTGAACTTGTCACAAATGTTAGCAACTTTCTTATAATCAAGTGCATAGTAATTTTTCTCCCTTATGACAGGATTCATGAAATTCTCAGGTTGACTACTTGACAAAAGATTGATCAATTGTCTTGCTTCTATCAAACAGCTCCTAAAACTACGTTCCTTGTAGATTTCACCCAATCCAGAAGAATAAAACTTCTCGTCCGCAAAACCCTCCAACATCATAAGATCGTTGTTAATATTCATAACTGCGGTAGCATTAAACCTTTTGACACTATCACTAAGAAAAGCAGTCACAATTATATCGGAAACATGCTCAAGTGCACCAGTTCCGACTTTGTACATAGCATCCAAGGGTAAAATTTGTCGCGCCGTAGACATAAGCGAATCAAGGTAAAAAACCACTTCGTTTAAGTACTCGTTTCCATTCGGCTTCGGCTCTTCCGTAGTCCAAAGAGCACCGTCGGTGAGTTTCATATAGTCGTCTAATTTTGTGTTGACTAAACTCAGTAGGGTAATATAAGCTGCATCCCTTGAAGTTTGCAGTAACACCTTTGCAGCTAATGCAGCTTGAGGCTTATCGATTGATCGAACCGAGACACCTTTTCCACATAATTGAGCCACATGCCTAAGGAAAAAATCACAAGCTCTTTCAAAAACAGAAATATTTGCAGCAATCTGCATAGCTTGAGACAAAGTGATATTGCCACCATTTATTGTGTCCTGTAATGTTTCATTTAACACTTCAATCAAAAGCTTGTCCAAATACTTCCTCACAATATCAAAGAAACTTGTTCTCACACCATGAGACAAGTAATCAACAGAGCCTTTGATGAACGACCCCACGACGTGACAAGCTTCAGGTACCATCGAAGAGAACGCCGCCACGTAAGGAAAAGCGGGCATAATATCAGAAGTTTGAAGATTAAATGACAGAACATGATTCTCATAGTCAGTTTCCTTTTTTATCACCATTTGCTCATATGAGTCATTTTCAATAACTTCGATAATTTTCCGCCTACAATCCGCCAAAAGAAGCAAGTGGTATTTGTCGCGACAGCTATCGAGCACATCTAATAAAGGGCTAATGTCATATCCATATTTTCTAAGAGTCGAACCGACAAGTGTAACGTAATCCTTAATCAAGAGAAGATGCGTGGCAGAGTTCATATGTGAGAATTGCATGTCCAACATTGATGTCATTTTCGACAAAGCAGTCTCCCACATTGTTTCAACCTGGTCCTCTACAAGTAGTCCTCCAGCAGTCCTTAAAACCTTGTCCTCAACGATAAAATACCCTGCAATCTGCGCTAAAAGTGTTTGATACGATTCAACAAAAGGCTGCGATGAAGATATCTCCAAATCGGAGTTCAACTGTAACAATCTATTCTTATAATAGTACTGATGAAATTGCTCTAGGATCCCCATACAACTATGAATATGACAAGCACGGTAAAGCGGCGTGAGGTCAAATTGCATTGCAGAATCATCATCAACTTCTTCAACATCCAAACTATATAACCTATCGTCGACAACTGAAACATTTAGATCATCAACCTTTCTCTGCCTTTCTAGAATTTCTTCATCCCTCTGACGAACCGACGCAGTACGACCTATCGCTGTTTGCCCGATTTTTTTACAAGAACTTCGTATAAGAACCATCCATTCATTAACCTGACTACACACCTTCTTCTCAATATGCAATTTTATCGAAGGAATCCTCTTCTCTATCACCAATTTAAGAGCTCTAGCAGGAATACTCTGCAGATAACTCTTCTCAAGCAAATCAACAGTTTTCAATGCAGGATAAAATTGGGCTTCAGAAATATGATTATTGCACTTAACACAAAGCTCCAACACCTGAATACAGTTCATCGACATCTTGATAGCTTCAGTCACATTCTTCTTAACAGAATACGATTCCAGAAGCTCTTCAAGTTTGACAAGAAGGGTCATTCCAACTTGCTGCAGCTTGAAATTATCACTCTGGAGTTCACTCTTTAGCTCTTCAGCATCAACCAACACACCGCGAAGTTCATCAACTGCGAGAATGAATTCTTCATAATGAGTCTTGCACATATCTTCGATTTCAGCTTCTTTTTTCTTAACCACAAAATTAAGCTGGCGAAGAAGCCCCTCGGGCCGTCCCATTTCAAACGCATGCCTTACAAGAGGGCTAAGATCATCTCCATTGGCAATCAAAGTTGCCAGAACCAAGTCCTCTCCTTCATCACCATTCTCTACCTCACTTCTCCTTTTTGTTTTCGCATCCATTCTCACATGAATGAATGAACAAATTTCCCTGAAATCTGAAATCAGAATAACAATCATATATTGCATGTAACAAACTTCTATATAGCATTGATTAACATGGAAGATATCTACACATTTAGTTACATTCAAATTACTACGGTAGCAACGTGTCAGTGTCGCGTCTCTGGTGTATATGTTTGATAGACAAACTTATAACTAAAATAATTAGAGTAACAAACATTGAATCACCACCACAAATAAGTGAATAACCTCATAGAAAAAATAGATTGATGAAAAAAGGGATTATTATACAAAAACAATACAATGCAAAGGGCACAAACATAGTGTGAGATTGCATACAAAAATTATGTAATTATATAAAAGAATGAGAGTGATAAATAAATTGATACCGTAATGTGATGAACCGCAACAGAAGCTTGTGATCAAAGATTGGAGTGACAAATTTTCCAACGTAGATTAGATTGCATTCTATTCTGTGATCACTGGGAAGAAAGAAGAACCAGAATGAAGTTGTGTATGAGATGGGATTAAGAAACGCCGATGCGGCATTTTCAGATCACAAAATCATGTCAATATTTTGACAAAAGAATTAGCCACGTTACGTTAATAATATATGTAAGATAATATAATTATATGTGTTAAGATTGTTATAAACTATTTTTTACTATGAAATTTAAAAAAATAAGAATTTAATTCATATACTCGGAAATGCTAAAGATATTTTAGTCACACAAGTCAGAGACGGATTGTATAAATTGTTTCACTGTAGTAAATAGAAATTAAACTTATATATTAGTTACAAATTAATAATTAAATTTATGCAGATATTATTTAGAATTAAAATTATTTTGTTTGCCCGAATGAAAATATTTCAATGATAAGATGAAGATCGATAAGATGCCAATGTCTAATAGTGTTTTGACTCGAAGATCTCTTCTTGGTTTGAAGAGAAAGAAATGCTAATATCACTCTGACACCATAATCAATTGATGAATAAGATAAAAGGTAATGTTTTTAGATTTTCGAGAGTTTGTACCTAAATCCTCCATATAGAGGTTGTCTATAGCGTTTATGGAGACTGATGAACTTCATCAATGTTTATGTGAACAAATGTTAGAATATAATTAATTCTTAGCCAACGACCCCCCATTCAATCATCTTCATGAATTAGGTGTTTTTCTAAGAAAAATTCATACTTGCTCCTTAGGGTCTAGAACCTTTTTTGAAACGATTAATATATGGTTGATATTTTCCATTCTAACATCATTGTTGTAGCGTCATACTGTCATAAATATTTCCGCCTTATCGGACTCCACGCTTCTGACATCATTGCATTGTGAAGGTAGTTTTAGCTCCATTATTATCAAGTGTATAAGGTTGCTTCGTTTGTATCTTATTTTCTTTTCTCTGTATCTAGGTATAATGACTCATTCCATTAGACATTTCTAAACTCATTCTTGATAAGGACACATGCAACTATTATCTTTGGATAAATGATATTTACTTAGAGATTCCTTCAATGTATTTCAATTCGAAGGAATCAGAGAGCTACGAGGCTGTCGTTGAAGTAAGAAGTCCTCTTAACGCTTCCTTATAGATAAAATATGCTAAGACTTTCCATCATTTTTTCCCTTATTTGACGTAGTATTTAAAGAGATGAATTTTTTCCTAAAGTTTACTACCTTTGAGCGGGAAGTATTCTGTTAGCTGGTTCTGACGCCTACAAAGTCACATCCAAACTATTTAGCCTTCATTCAAGCTTTGTAGCCTGTGTGCTAGTATTTGAACCGTGAAGCTTATGTTAGAGTCTTTTCCACAATTTTTCTTTCGATTTCTTGGGAAGGCTCACATTCTC